AGAAGTACGTGAAATCTAGATTCCGGTACCTAGGGCTTCACTTCAACCCCATTAGGCAGGTGATTGAGACCCCCTCTAAGATGATTTGAAGCATGAGTTAGAGGATAGAAGGCTACCGAAAGGAATGAGAAATTCCATGCATTCCAAGGAAATTTGGAAGCGAATATCTGTGAATACCCTTGAAGCTCCGGTGGAGTCGATTCCACGATTGATGAAGGCTCTAATCGAGTCCAATAGTAAGCAAACCAAACTCAGAATAATTTTTCTTGTTAATTCCCCGCTATCTGCTCGCCTTTTCCTTTGTATTGCTGTTGAATAAGAGCCTCAGAGCTGTTTGAAACACGATTTTGTGGCTTGTTCTATACTTTCATCCCGCAGCTGTGGCTCTTCTCTTGTGATTTGACGGCTAATTTTCACACCTTCTATGTATGATACATAATACTGTAGCATACCGTAGGCATTACAACCAACTGGAGATGCAAAAAGAAATTCTAACGCCAATAAAATTTACATAAACATAAATCATCGAGATGGCTGAAATGCGTTTCGCGACCTTTCTCAAAAAATTTTCATAACCTGTCTACCTTTTCATCAAAATCTCCCAAAACATCGCAGTAGAGGAGGGACAGCCGTCTATGATTAGGTAGTAGAAATGGTAGTTCCGAGGCGTCGCCAACCAGGAGTTATGTAGTGGCGCGGAAAATTAACAAAAAATTTTCCTAGGACTGAATACGTCTCTCACACCTCAGCGACCAAATGAGCTTCCCTCGCCATACTTAGATTTGCATAGCCGATGATATCAGTATCCCTAAGACGCGCTGGCACACTTGCGACATATCTTCAAAATCGCGCATACTCTGTTTAAAGACACATGGTACGATCACACATAGTTTGGGTGTGCGTGACTATCAGCCCCCCAGCTGTCGAAGCGTAGCGGTTTCCCCGTCCTAACATGCGCAGGAATGGAGATACAGGACCGTGAAACACGCTAATTCCTCCATGCTCCGCCCAATACCTTTTGCGGCGCAGACTCCCGTTCATGCTAACATCCGTCGTGTGCGCGCGTGTCGCGTGCGGCTCTCTTGGCACTTTGCCAAGTCCTTAAATACAAGTAAAACGCAATTTCCTGATGCGGATAACATTTTAGGTGCTGCAAAATAAGAACCGAAGATGATGACGAGGGCCAGAACTCAAGAGCAACTGTGCTGCTTCTGCAACATCCCTCAGAGGCCGCGCATTCCCACAAAACATGAAAATAAAAACGGCCTAAGCGTCCCACTCGTTAGTTGAAGTATTTCTATGGCTTTGGAGCCGGATCGCAGAAATTTACACGCGATTTTAATTTTATTTCCTTGTTTTTTCAATTTTGTTTTATTTACATCTACATTCGTTGTTCTTCATTTCTAGCCTTTGTCATCTTCATCACCTTCTATTCGGACTTTGCAGCATGAGCAACACCTCAAATGTTATCCGCATCAGGAAATTGCGTTTTACTTGTATTCCAAAGCGCAATTACAGGACTTGGCAAAGTGCCAAGAGCGCTGCGCGCGACACGCGCCGCGCGGACGGCTGTTAGCATAAACGGGAGTCTGCGCCGCAAAAGGCATTGGGCGGAGCATGGAGGAATTAGCGTGTTTCACGGTCCTGTATCTCCATTCCTGCGCATGTTAGGACGGGGAAACCGCTACGCTTCGACAGCTGTTAGTCACGCACACCCAAACTATGTGTGATCGTACCATGTGTCTTTAAAGACAGTTCCCGCGATCAAGTGGTCCGCGAAATGCCTCCGTGCATTTGGCATCGTTGTCCGCATTCGCAGAGAATATACCACTTTGTATCAGATTCCATGTCTGGTTTTCTTGAAACCTCGGCATATTAAGACAATTATATATGTGATGCTTCTGTGCCGTAGAGGTTTGTTATGATGGAACAGTTTATTAGGGCCGACGTTTCGAACAAATCGTCGTTATCAAGGCCTCCAGTGGTCGGTTGTCGCGTGGCTTGATATATAGGAAGCTCGGCGCTGGTGGAACAGTAGTGGGTGAGTGATAATGGTTATTCTGCGTCTCAGATGTATGCCTGAAAATCGTCGCACGGGCCAAAGCCAACGTGTGATCGGACTGAGTGGTAGATTTGCACAATGATACCACTTTCAGGCCTTGATAACGACGATTTGTTCGAAACGTCGGCCCTAATAAACTGTTCCATCATAACAAACCTCTACGGCACAGAAGCATCACATATACCATTTTGTCACTCGAAATAAAGATAAAGAAGAAGCAACCAATGCAACTATGTACGATGACTTTCACTCTGCAAGACAACGGCCTACAAGCGGAATTGCGTGTGTACATAGCGTTGCCTGGAGCATCGTAGGGTGATCCTGTGCTCTTACCGGTGAACTGGTTGCTCGTCGAATCATGATAACTGGGCTTGCTGTCGTCCGAGAAAGTCGTCCACGCGCCTGGCCCTCTGCCAAGAGGGTCTCCGTTGAGGATGTTTCTAAGGTTTTCTTTGATTCCTTCTCTACTGGTGATTACTGATGGGCTACTAGTTCATGACTGAGCTCCCACTAATTCACTTGATCGTGTCCTCAAATGAATTCGCACTCACGCACCTCACGAGGGAACGGTTTTAGTGGCACCGTGACCTAGTAGTAACGGTCTCGCTTCAAAGCCATTTGCTCGTGGGTTTGCATCCCGTTGGCGCGAAATTTTTGCTTCGTCTCCTATAAGAGCTTTCACTCTAATTTTCGAAATTCTCCGAGTTTACGGCCCAGCAGAGCAAGTAGATCAAGTAGATCAAGTATATGACGTACTCGATCGAGTATGGATTTGGTCGCTATCTGTCCTCTCTGAACTCATTACCCATCCGACAATTCGAAGTTTTGGCCAGAATCACAATTTGGCCAGAAACTCGTTTCTGGGGGTATTTTGACCCCCTGAGCACGGATATCACATCCGTTTGACGCGAAAACGATCGGTTCCCTCGTTCAGTTGATGACCACAACAACGTGAAAGGCTACAAGCGTTTTCTCGCCAAACGGATATGATATTCGTTTTCAGGGGGTCGAAATACCCCAGAAACGAGTTTCTGGCCAAAACCTCGAATTCGACTGCGTTATATACTTCGATCTACTTGATCTACTTGCTCTGCTGGGCCGTAAACTCGGAGAATTTCGAAAATTAGAGTGAAAGCTTTTATAGGAGACGAAGCAAAAATTTCGCGCCAACGGGATGCAAACCCACGAGCATTTGGCTTCGAAGCGAGACCGTTACCACTACCACGGTGGCACTGCCCAATGACCGATCAGCAGCGCTTACGAGCCAAAACCGAGTTTTCGCAAACTTTGACCGCCCAGAACTCGTCTGGGAGGTCCCCGTAGCACTTTTAATCTGCATATTCGTAATCAGCATTCGAGGACTCTATCGATGTATCTCCATTCAAAGTTCCATGGGAAGTTCAAACCATTCCCTTGTTAGAAATTTGGGGAACAGAATTTTTTTCTTGACGCTGTGTCTCTTTATGGCGGACACTAATTTGGTAATTATCGCCCGACTCCATATCCATATCCAAAAAATAAAGATCCATAAAAATGGCTGATCCCGGTTGCCACGCAGGTGGTCCATCTGGTAAAGAATTCTCTCAGTGGGTTGATTGCTATTAGGTTGGACGAAAAGTCCTGCGACACTTCTGAACAAATTTTTGCACCAAATTTTCCTTCACTAAAAGACATTTCCAATCTACAAGGTAATCACCATTAATGACTAGGACTAGTGCCCACCTTTTGCACAGCTTCTCATTTCCATTCTTATAGAACTACGGCAACTATGATAAAAGAAGAGGTGGACCTCATTTTCGAGTGGACGTCGATTTTCGTAATTTTTGTTTCCTAGGTGCGCTAGGGATCAAAGGAGGTGGTAATTAGAGGCTGCTAGGTAAATAAGCTGGGTGCGGTCGCATTCTCTGATCGAGATCCATGATCTTTTGGCGTAGCCTGATCCCCACATGCGGTCTTCGCATTGCCGAGTAGTAGAGAAAAATTGAGTATTTCTGAATGAATTCAAGCGTGACGTCATCCATGTTGAAGTTGATTGGGGTGGGCTGTGGTCCTTACAGCTGTGCTAGTATCCAGCGATACCGCTTTGAAGTCCCACCAATAACACACTGAAATCTTTATCCCATGCACATCTGCTTTTGGCTAAGCAATCTACTTTACTGTTTGAGAGATCCTGCGAGGGACATGTGCATGATGTACGCAAGGACTCCACCTCGCTACCAACCACAAGATCTCACAAAAGTTCTTCCAGTGTGTACAAGGAAAAGAAAACTCAGTCACGGTCATTCGGTATGACTTGTCAGACGGGTCCAACTCATGAGGCATCCTTCACAAAATTTCCGATAACCGAGATTGCGGAGAAGCATGGCAGTTGTCAGTCAGGTGGAGCCTAGAGAGGTTGCCAACTTACTGGTGGTTACGTTCGGCTGCGCCTCAAGAAGCTTGAGTAAAGGGCCGTCATTCTGTGCTGGTGGCCGACCTATACATTGCCTACTACGAGTTAAATAAGTCCAGCTGGAAGCGCTGATGCAAAAGCTACCCTCTGCCATGGCAAGCGATATCCTTCCTCAAGACAACGTAGGTGTTAGCTTCCTCGACTACGGCTGAGTGGCCCTACAGGAACTCATAATATAGGTCGAAAAGTACCTCGATCTCTGAGGGACTTTTAAGCTTTGAAAACTTCCTCAAAGTCATGATATACCCATGTGCAGAAACCCCAGAGTCTCCACTAATCAGGGATGAAAACATTCGAAATGATTTTTGGTCTTTTTCTAGAAGAATTTCAAAGTGTCGCAAGCTTTTCGTCGAACCTAATAGATATAGACGTCAATTCACAGATAACAGAGATGATTGCGAAACCAGCGTGACCTCCGAAACGCCCCGTACTTCCGCGCACAAGATTTGTTTCACGATCCTCTTTATTGACGAAATTCAATCATTATTACCTCAAATTCGATTTTCCTATCCTTATGCTGCCTTTCCAGTCTTTCTGCTTGTCCTTATTTGCTCGAACAGTGAATTCCTTCGGTGTAATCATTTCTTCTGTAATAGTCTTTTTTGTCACATAGTGCATGAGCAAAGTTCGAGGATAAGTAACCGACTTTCGAATTCTATGCACGGTTGATGGATGCCAGGACAGAGAAACAATTCCACGTGCATTTTAGCGACTAATGATCCACATTTCACCTGAAAAGACTGGAGTTATACTGTTATGGTATAAAATATACATAATACATGATGGATTGCGGCAGCGCCCACGTTCATTTGATGTTCCCGCGCCCTCTCTGGATATCATAGCCCTCCCTATGAGGATGCAGTATGTACTAGTTTTGCATCTCAAAAGGCGAGAGGATAGCGCTAGTGAAGAGTCGGCCGCGCACCCACCTAGCCAGCATAGGGTTCTATATAGGGCATTTCCATGATTTTTTCTGCTTTTTTCTTCACTACTGGATCACGTATTATATGAGCTCCATAACTCATTATTCTTGAAAGCGGGCTCAGCCTTCGAAGGCTAAGCCAAAGCAGTTATGGCAGCCAGGTGGGCGGGGCGGCATCCTCTTCACAAGCGGGTGGCGCCATCCTCTCGTATTTTTGAGCTGCGAAATTAGTACATCCTCCACCCTTGTCGACAAAGCTACGATATCTAAGGAGGGTGTAGGCTCAAATGAATCGCGGGCGCTATCTTTAAAGCGGTTTTTTTTAATAGCGTGGCCCGCTGAACTGGGCTTATCCCTATGGAATACATCCGAAAGCCGAAAGGTAAAGTAGGCAGTTATGGATGGGACATACAGGGGAAAGATTCTAACAAGCCAAGAATTGTACTCTGATCGCTTTCACTTATAGGTTTGATTCTATGTAAAAGTCAGTGTTTTCTTCGTTGCAGATGACTCCACTGCCGCCTGTTTTTCGACCACCGCCAACACTGCGTCGTCTCCTTACGTCGTCACGAGTGTACGAAGACCGATGTGGCCGCGAGAACTGTGCTTACTGCCGAGAGGAACGAAAGATCTGCCTTTTGATGAACACCGTTTACGAAGTAGAGTGCGCGTCATGTCCAGAAACTGGACGGCCACTCTACAAAAGGCTTAATGAACATCTGAGGGCTTTCCGGAATCCAGCTAGCTATCCGGATAACCCCTTCTCAAGACATCGTTCCTCACGCCACACGAATGAAAGCGCGCCTGAACTCAAGGTGCGCGTAATCCACAGGAACATTAGTGGCCGTTACGTAGGCAACATATTTCGTCGTTGCGAAGTCCAGAACAGCATTACGTCAAACATTCTTGAAGCTGAACTCAGTGCACTCAACTATTGCACTGACTGACTGTCGAGGAACCTGAATCACGATGGTTTCCTACCGTTCTAGTGAAACTGTCGGCAAGAAATGTACTTTCCATGTGGCGTAAGAGATCTACGTCAGAGAACATCCACTCTCCAGAGGCTGCTACCCTCTTTTCATGAAGAGGAATATAGTTCAGTCGGCGTTATTGTGAACTTGCAATTTGTTCTGCCAAAAAGGTGGTAGGTGGAAAGCTTCATTACAAACGGCCTGAAGTTTCAACAGGATCGTCGTCCTCAGAGGCTAGTCCACCACCAACTGACAGCAGTGGCATTGTTCCGCTCATGTGGTGGTGGACTGGCCTCTGAGGACGACGATCCTGTCGAAACGTCAGGCCATTTATAATAAAGTCTTCCACCTCTTTGGCAGAACAAATTACAACTTATAGTTCAGAATGCCTTGACTACAGCTCGGAAGGTTGACGTCCACTAATGTTCCTGTAGTGATAGACACCGTGACGCGTATACTTCTCGAAAACGGATATGGAAGCAGACACGTAAATTGTTGGCGCCCATATCAGGTACCAGAAGGCATTCCACTGATACTTCCGTATCTATCAGACCCCTTTGCGAAAGATGTAAATCGTGTTATAAGGAGGTCGGGATGCCAATCCGCCTGATATTTCGACCACCGCCAACATTACGTCGTCTCCTTACGTCGTCACGAGTGTACGAAGACCGATGTGGCCGCGATAACTGTGCTTACTGCCGGAAAGAAAGAAAGAAAGGATGAACGAAAGATCTGCTCTCGATGAACACCGTCTGCGAAGTAGATTGCGCGTCATGTCACCGTCTACGAAGTAGAGTGTGCGTCATGTTCGGAATTCTACATTCGGAGAAACTGGACGACCACTCTACAAAAGGCTTGATGAACATCTAAGGGCTTTCCGGAATCCAGCAGCTATCCGGATAACGCCTTCTCGAGACCTCTCGCCAAACGCGCGCCTGAAGTCAAGATTCACGTAAACCACAGGAACATTAGTGACCCGGTGGAGAGGAATGACCAAGAAGTGCTAGAGATTCGAAGGAGGAATCCACCGATTAAAAAGAGGAGCTAAGAAGGACATGGAGCTCATTGCTGCACCATGATGTGACATAACTGGTGATACGTGACATATGACAATGACAGGGTATCAACTATCACCATCTCATCCCTGCTTCGCCGAACTAGCTGTCCCATTTCCAGACGGAAGGACAGCTGGGGAGGTGAGTCAATGTTTCGTATCACTGTTGCCATTACATCCAAGACCATCTTGCAGCAAACTCCCGCACCCACTCCTACCCCAGACCCTCCTTTCCATAGGAATCCGGTCAGTTGTTAATTGATTGTTCCCTCTTTGGATTTCTAGTTAATGCATAGTAGTTAGATGATGTTATCATCTAACTACTATGCATTAACTAGAAATCCAAAGAGGTGGTGTTATCACTATGGGTGATATTTTGAAGATCTGAAGAAGGGCTGACGGCCCGAAACGTAGTCAGCGGAATAGGACTGAAAAAAGTTTAATGGTATTCACCACAAAAAAAGCCTTATGACACAATAAGCCCAAAAACCCTCTGATATTATGAATCGAACGCCCCTGCAAGCTGTTGTGGAAGTAGAATGCGTGGCGCATTCAAAATAAGGTTAATCAATGACGAAAGTTCCACCTAAACTATTTTGGTGCAGCATTCCAAGGCGTTTCGACAGCCAACGCAGCTTTCATGTGAAATGTTCTTTGGCGTAGATGGCGACATGAATGGCAGTCGTGAACTGGCATCTTTTGGCTTATCGCACAAAGCTCAAGCTTGCCCGAGTGCCTTTTCTTGGTCTCTCAACTCCTTTGTTACGATCCACAGTTTCTTCGAGAGTCTTGTGATTCTTCACACGCAGTTATGGGCAGCTCTCAACGTGATAGCGGTGTGACGTAACGCGATACTGTCCGCTGTTATGATCCAAAAAAGTACAACTCGAATTTCTATTACTCAGGAATTCTTCTTTAGGGACACCCTTTCTGCGAAAATAACATTTTCATGTACGACCAGAGTAAATCTAACTAAGTTTTGGTGAAATTAGGTGGGACTGTGACTTTTCCAAGGTTTTTTTGCATTAGCCACTGCGAGCAGGGAAAGCCATAGCATTGTGATCACTTCCTGAAAAATACGACACCCCCCTCCAATTCCATCCTCGAATACGACCCCCCTCCCATGCTACCTACCACTTTCCTAGATTTTCCCAACTTTCTACCACTTTTTCCAGTTCTCCAGCCGAGAATTTTTCGTCCAGCGGGAACCGGGGGGGGAGGTCGTCAGGATTTAACTATCATTTTCAACTATCGGAAATAATAGTTGTATACATCTTTGACAGTCCCTCTCCCAACAACGCAACGACCAAATACGACCCCCTCCCTCGCGGTGAGTGCGAGAATGGTTCGCATCAAGCAATTTGCTGCGATTCGTATTGCATTTCATCTGTCAAATGTGTGACCGAAAAGGGTGGAATCTGAATGGTGCTGCTTCAATATTTCTCGTTAAACCCAAATTTTTCCATCATACCATTTTTGGTTCGCACAATACAGAGAATTACCGTTTCGCAACATTCTTTTTAAATTCATAACGCTGCGCTACTGCGACTGTTGGAAAAAGTGTGCATGCGTTGTGATTTATATTGCACGTCATCTATGTTAGTTTAGTGTGAAAGACTCCTACGATTAATGGTAATTGCTTATCCTTTCTTGGACAAGCGAAGAGCTCTATGAGATCAAGTAGTCTAGTCTGGACAGGTGAAAAACCTTCGTAGACACGGAGATTAATTAGTCTAATTTGTAGTTCGTATCATATCTGATGTGTGAACGCTGCCGGTTTACGGTATGCTATTTGATGGATAAGCACTTCAGAAGTGTGCCCATTAGGCAATGGCACGCTGTTTTTCTTGTATCGGACAACAGAAATGGAGGAGCCAAATTGTGGAAAGTGAAGCAGGAGCTGGATGAAACTGCCAGATACGCGTGCAGTAGGGCCCCTGTTAGCATCTTCCATTAGGAAGTGGATGGACGAGCGTACACCTGAGATGGTCATATCGTTGGTCAACCATAAAAAGTGGAAAAATCACAGCTATTTCAACACAACCGTGAAGAACATAGTTTTGATTGACCAAGACCATATCAAAAAAGGACCTCAACGAAAAATAAGGAGGCACTAGCTTATTCATTTATTTGATAATGTACACCATAATAGGGTGCTTCCTCTACAAAAAAAAATTACGAAAAAGGTCACAAATAGATTGTTCTAAGTCGAGCGTACTAGTATTTCCTTTGCGATTACAGATGTTCATTCGCTCATGAAATTATTTTGGACCTTGGAACAACGGCCGAATATTCAGGGATTTAGTGTATAATATCTGGAAAGTCGCAGAAGTTTTCAAAGTTCCAAAAACAGGTAATACGTGCATATACGTATATAGGTAGCAGTGAAACTTTTAAGAACACTTACACTTACTCGTAAGAAAGAAGCTACAATACTTAGGGAGTTGTCACTGCTTTCTTGACATCGCGTTCGAAGTTCCGTAGACATTCTGTCATATACCCGAAACAAATATTGTGTTCCTGTACCACTAAAGTTTGGTTTTAAGTTGGCGGGAAAGTTCTGTCATACCTTTTTCGAACTCAGAACACTTGCCCATTACCTGGAGAAGGTTACTAGTAATTTGAACAGTTATACAAATGGTCTTTCTATTCGCCTGACTTTGGCTTCTCTTCTTCTGCAGTATGGACAAGCATGGTATATACCACCATCGGCACCGGCCCTCCGAGCGCTTCCTCAAACTCTTTCTTCTACTACCC